TTGGGAACTATGGTTTTCTCTACTACGACGGTAACAGAGCTATTCGTTCCTTGTTCTTCTTTGGGTTTAGTCAAACTAGTTAAATCTGATTGTTACCTAAGATTTTAAGTATTTTTAAAATGTATATGTTGTTTTGGGGTTGATATAAGGTTTCTAAAGTACTAGGTTTCTGCAACGAATCTTGAGAACATCCTTTAATCTCTAAAAATTTCAACCATTGTAGTCTGTCAAACTCCTTGCTCAAGGTTGGTTGTTCACCGGCCCGACCATAAATAACATAGACGCACGTTCCAGGTTCATTTATGGTATGGCTTATGTATGGTACCGACCTTAATTAAGGCGTTTGACCTAAAGGGTTGAGTTGGTAGTCTTAGTTGGAGGCATATTAGAATTTTATTAAGTGTTCTCATTGCGGGTCAGAGTATATATAACTCTTATATATTATTGTTGGTGGGGTTTGCAGTATTATTAAATTTTGTTTTGTACTCCAAAACTACCGAGTACAGACAAGGGCCAGACAGGAAACACCGAAGAGCATGACTATTTTAGCAATTAAGCAGTTCTGAAATCCAACAACCTAACCGACATTTCAAACCCGATTCCCCGTACTGTAAGTAGCCATGAAAGCAGTGTAAATATTAATAATAATACTTTTATTAGAAGCTAGTTGCTATAGTTTGTGACATCCCCATTTTCACGGCCAGAAAAGACCGATTTTGTTTATGCTTTATAGAAATCAGAGTACTTCTTTTAATAAAAATGTTGCGGAATTTGTTCCCAGTAAAATATGATAAATACGTTATCAAAGCATTTCTGAAGAAATGTATTTTTATTCATTTTTAAAACATTTAGGATGTCATCGTCAATACAGAAACATAAGCATAAACAGAACTTACATTCATTTACACTAGTGATCTACATCTCTTTTAAATCCCTCAGTGTAAAGTAGCTTCATATCGACACTTGTGATACAAATAAGCTTGAGTGGGTCAGGTTGGGAAACCTGGTGAGTACAGAGGGTTTTCAACCCACAATAATATAATTATTATGTTAAACATCAAACAATCAACCCAATTACCCATCCCCATTATCTTCTTTACTCTTAAGGATCTACCCTAAGATTCAGCTATTCCTCGTTCATTCATTCCTAAGGAGTATCCTAAGGAATCGGCACTAAGTCGGCATAGTCGCCAAGGTTTATCTCGTTTATTGACAGTATCGCTTTCGAGAGTCCACTCGTAATACCTGTCAAGGGGTTTTTAGAGTACACCGGGTGAACACATCGTTCACAACACCTACAGGTTGCGAGCCTGCTAGTGTTCCACTAGACTGTCTAGAATAGTCTGTGGTTGTCATCCATACTCTGCTAGATGACGGGGCCATCGCATGGGTCATCGTTTGGCTCGTCGTTTTGGCTCATCGCTTTGGCTCATCGTTTTGGCTCATCGCTTTGGCTCATCACTTAGGTCATCGCTTCGCACCATTTTTTATCACTCATATATCATCGCTCATCATTCATCTCATCTTTCATCGCTCATCATTTTTTCTCATCTTTCATCGCTCATCATTTATCTCACCTCTAATCTACTCATGTTTTTCCCAACACATTTTGTAGATATAAAATACATATACAGTTTAGATCATTTAAAACATGTATAAAACGTTTCATCCAGCATAGACAACAAGTATTCAGACAGTATACACACATAGCACGTAATTTATAAAATACTTCATATCTATGTGTAAGATGAAAGTAACTATGCACTCACTTGATTAGGTGGTGACTCGGTACTCGGACAGCACTTCGTTGTCTCAAAACAATTTTCCCTTGACAAAACCTAATATCAATACCACTAGGGTTTAGTCTAACGTTAACCGCGACTAATTAATAGTCTAGCTATTATTACTATTATATAAGCGTTAAGCAACACTCTTATATAACTCATAATAACAGGTCAAATAATTATTTTAAGGTCCTAATAATGTTACTATAATTAATTAGAAGCTATATTAAAAATAGCGTAGGCGTAGCTCACTTACAGCGGGTTTTCTCGAAAACCGGGCTCCGCCGGAGCAGAGTTTCTGAGCCGAAAGGCTCTTTTCTCGGGGCTTCGGGAGCCTCGGGGCTTCCTTCGGGTGCTAGGGGGTTTACCTAGACTTTAGGGGGCTTAAGGGGAGCTAGAGAGAAGTTTTACAGAGAGAAAGTAGAATGGGATGGTGTGAGGAATTGGTTTCACCCGGCATATCTATTTATAGGGGGCTAGAGGCCATTTCACGTCGTGAAACATAAATTCACGTCGTGACCCGCCGGAGACAGCCAGGCACAGCCTGGTGCTGACACGTGGCATCGCACACATGGTGGAAATCAGCCGATTTTCAAAAATTCATAACTTTCGCATATGAGCTCCGTTTTCGACGTTTTTTTCGACGCGTAGGTAAAAACAAGATCTACAACTTTCATTTAGACTCCGTCAGCTAATTCTCAACCGATCATAAATTTAACAGTAGGAAGAGATTAGACTGTTAAATGACCGCGAAGAATTCGTAACTCCTTCATACGGACTCCGTTTTCGTCTGTATTTTTATCGTTGAGTTCCTATTAATGAGAACTTCAACTCTCATTTAGGTTGCGTAGGCCAAAAACCGGTCGAACTAAAATTCCAGTTTTGGGCCTTGCACTGTTCTGCCAAATCTTAGAAAAATCATAACTTCCTCATACGAAGTCAGATTTGGGCGTTCTTTTTATGGATGTTCTCGGTTTAACATATTCTACGACTTTCGTTTAGATTACTAAGGCCAGAAAGTCTTCTATCGTAAATTCACTATTTACGCTTCCCGGTGTCGTGCCGGTTTTGCCGAAAAACTTCGACGAGTCATAACTTCTTCGTTATAACTCGAATTTCGGCGTTCTTTATATGTACGGAACCCTTGGAAAAGATTAATCCTTCTAAATAATCTTCCATCAAAAACTCATTTTTGATGCTTATTGTCTCTAAATTGACTAGCCCGGATCTGCGGACGTTACATAGTTGTATTCCTCTTTCGAGGATATGAGTTCTATATAGCTAGTTTAGCTCTGATACCAATCTGTCACACCCCCGGCCGAGGCGGCGGAACACCCCGGGCTGTGTGACTAAGTTCATGGATCACTGGTAAACTGAATATATAGCACAAGTACAACAATAAACGATATAGAATTTACATTCCATCTTGATCTTTGAATACAAGGTTTTTTAAAAATTATAATAATACATGAGTTGCCTTAACAAATGGGCGTATAATACAACAACAAGTAAACTAGGTCACCTGTAATCCAATCTGTCCTGAATGTCTGTTTAGTGATTTCCTGAGAATACATGTAGTTTTGAGAGTCAACACAAGGTTGGCGAGTGTTACAGGTTTTCTGCTAAAAGCAGTAATACTTTTAATAAGTCTAAAAAGTATTATCCTTGTACGTATAACAATAGTTAAAACAATGTTTGCAATGAGTCTTTAAAAGCCCAAAATTTATTTCGGTATAAGTAACTTCATACTTTAAACTGTGTTTGTAATAAATCCTTGAAAGCCAAAATGTATGTTTTGTATAAGTAAATCCATAATTTAAACTGTGTTCATAATAAACCTTTGAATATCCTTGAAAACCAAACTGTTATGTTACATAAGTAATTCCATACTTAAAAATAGTTTTGAAAGCAACCAAGCCCATGGTTGGTAGTGGGAGAGAGAGATATATATTCTAGTTAATGTTTACAGTGAGTCATATAACCGAGAAATATGACTTGAGTGTACCCTACAACGCTTCATTCGACGTTGTAGTAAGAATTGTAGACACCTATCACCCGCTTCGATTCATCGGTCGAGGGTTGTAGCTAGCAACCACAGGTGGGGATGTCAACCCCGTATAGATCTATACATATGTATAGCTTCGAAGATTAACAGTTACAGTAGTGTCGGTATGTTAAGTATTTAAACTCAACTAATGAATAACGTCTCACTAAAAGCCCTTAACTAAAAAAGTTTATGAATAACTCTCATCCCTAACTTGATTGTGATTAAGTCACTAGGCATAATGAATACCGTTGTATGAGGTTTATAAAAGCCGAGTATGTTTGAAATGTATGCAAAAGTATGGTGTGCTCTCTTTTATAAAAAAATGAATGTTTCAAATTAATGAACATATGTACATGCATAAACGTTGTGTACTTAAACATATAAATAAACATGCTTAGTAATAACTTGAATCCATGAAATACTACAAAGTTTCATAACGTGCTATAATATGCAATGTTACATAAAAAAAATGATATAATTTTGTATCGTGTAGTACTTGTTGTGTGAAAGGGTTATTTCACGATAAAATAACCATAATACGTATACAAAATTTATACTGGTTTATTTGTAAGAATATGGTAAATTGTCAAATAATAATATTTTTATAAACTAGATTTATTGTATTTTCGTATAAAAAGAAAATTGATTTATATAAACAAAATATTTAGGCACATGTATTCCCCCCCCCCCCCCCCCCCCCTGAAATAATTAAATTATTAAAAGGGGCCGTAAGCACTCACCCTTGAATCGTGAGTTCCAATCGTTCGAATTCGGTTTCTTTTGAGAAACTTGTCGTGAGAAACCGCAAATCCACAATTTTTAAACATCGAAACATTTCCGGGACCGTTTTGGTAACGAGTTTAAAATGTTGGGGGTTGTTTGGTAATTTAATTAACCAAAATAAGACTGCTTTGGTTTAAATAATTCAAGGGAGGGACTGAAATGTTTTAAATGGAATTTAAGTTTAAAGATTGGACTGATTTTGTAAAGAATTTCCTTGGAGGGCCTGTTTTGTTTTAATTAACACAAACTTTTGGGGAAAGGGGCTATTTTTTGAGACATACCAGGGAGGGGCTGATTTGAACTATTAATATAAAGGAAGGGGATAGTTGTGTCTAAACTCATTAACTAAAAAGGGAATCGTTTTTTTTTTTTTTTTTTTGTGGGTTCCTCATTTGGCCGAGCAAACGAATGAAAGAGGATATGAACGAGGCGATCGATGAGAAAACGAAGCGGTCACGAGGGGAAAACACAGAGGCCAAAAAAATCGGAGGCAAAATCTATTGGGCAACGAAGGAACGACGAATGAAAGCAGACGACGATGAGAGGGGAAAAGACACGAAGGCAGCGACTGATCGATCCATCGGGAGGAGGATCGCCGTCTCCGGGGCTCGACGAGGCCGAAGCATCGAAGACGTGAAGAAGCAGCGAAGGTTCGATCGGTGGGCTTCGCAAACCGATGTGGTCTCCTGGGTTCGACGGGCCGAAGGGAAGTACGAGATGGGGGAGGGCAGCAGCATCGTCGCGGTAGGAAAGAGGTTGAGGGATCAGAGGGGGCTGTCGCCTCCCGTGTTTGCTCCGGGGAAACACCCACTTCGGTGGGTTTTGCTCTCGGTAGTTGAAAGGTGCGTGGATGGGGGCTGCTCCGGCAGCTCCCATGATCTTCTTCTTTCTTTCTTTTTTTTCTTTTTTTTTTGATTGTTTGAACAGAAATCATTGGGAGGAATTTGTGTTTGATTTTGATTTTTGACAGGAAAATATAGAGGGAAGAGGGGACATCGAATGGGTGATGGAGAGTGGTTTGATTGTGGTGATTCTGTAGGCCAAAGGGAGGGGGGTTAGTAGACCCTTAGCAGTAAAAACACACACTTTGGTGTGTTCATGGTATCGAATGAAGAAGAAGAGAGAAAATGGCAGTAAACAACTTCATCGATTTCAGGAGGTGTGTGTGTTTTTTTTTTATCATCCATATCTTACTAAAACGATTTTTATCATCGTATAGATTGATTTTACCTTGGAGTATTGCTTTTATCTTGGAGTGTTAATTCTTCCTTTCCTCCTTGAATGTGCAGTAGATGATGGAATGGTTTCAATGGAAGGACAGCAGAAACTTTGCGAGTGGTTTTTGTTTAGGATGAAGCTTGGAAGTATTCAGTGACGGGTTGTACAATAACCGGCATAAGTTGTATTGTATAAGTTTCATTTTTGGTATTTTGTATTATGTATTTGTTTAATTATGTAATGTGTGTTTATTGAGGTATGTTTTAAATGGGTATGTATTTGTGTGTATTTGTTTGATTTGGTATGTATTATTGGTGTTTTCCTCTTGCATACACATGTATGTATACTTAAAACTTTAACAAACCATTTCTTAGTAATTATAATCTACTTTCATTTGTCATGAATTTGTTAGATAACTTCAACAATACATATATATATAAATTTAAACTCGTACGTTAGGAATGTAAAATTTATTAATTTGTTAAACCTTGGTTTGTTAAATTTAAAATACACACATATATATTTTATATTTATGACAATTTAACCAACCATATTTAGTTGATCATGACACATGTCGATACACGTATATACATACATATATATAGTCGTTCACGAAATTAATGAGTTTTGGGCTATTTCCATCGTTAAAATCCACCACAACCGGTTGGATTCTTATATTTTTCCGGAATACATTACCGATAATAGAAATTTTGTCGAAATCAATAGTTTAAGGTTTTGCGATTAATAATCTGAAAACGTCTGATTTATTTAACTTTTATAAATATTTTTAAAAAATATTTCAAATTAGAAAATTAATTATTAGGTTATAGTCTAAGTCTAAAAATGCTTTCGAAACTTCCATTTGAGGTGTGCAAGTCCCTCAACGGATAGAAAACGGTTTTAACGATTTTAAGAAAATCAATATTATACCGGTTTTTGGATTCTTAAACGGTCGTATCTTTTGCATACGAACTCAGTTTTGGACGTTCTACATATTTTTGGAAGTCCCGAATTCTACTACGTATCAATCGGATTCACTTTTGATGGTGCGGAATCCCAATCAAAGTGTAATGCAATATATAAGATGAATAAGAACACAAAATGAATCTTCAATGCACACGATATATTGATTAATCGTCCGGTACACAAGATTCCGATTACACACTGTTTTCTCTCTCTTTTTTCTCTAGATCTCGTTCTAAGCATATAGCAGCCCCCAAGAACGTCCCTCACTCCTATCTAGGCTAAAATAACACTATTTATACCTAGACCTAATAACAAAGCCCAAACCCAAAACCCAAACAAAACAATATAAAGCCTAACCGAAATCACATGTGATTTCGGTCCAAACAACACCAAAACATGGTGTTTTCGGTCCTAGACCGAGAAATCTAATATCTTATGAAAAGCAAAGTATAAACCACAATTTATGACCTAACAATTTTCGGAAACAAGAAAACATGTACTACGAGACTAGAGTGTTTGTTTTTCTCACAACGACTTAATACGAACTTTCAGTTTTTCAGACGCATTAACTATGGTTGCAGTTTGAGCTGTTTGATTCGTTCGTAAATTTACACAGTTGGAAGTAAGATACCATTTGGTATCTTATAATAGTTGAAATAACTCTTTTATTTTACATTAGATGCATTAAAATTCAATGAGTCAAATTACCAAGAAACTTACTGTGAACTTGACCGTTCACAGTCTTTGACCTCAATTCCGAGATGTCACATATAGCGTTACATTTAAAACTAAATCGACTGTTAGGCTTAAAAATAAGCGTCCAAAAAGTTGTACCTTCTTTTCAAAATGGTCAACATATTTAGAAAGTACCTGTTAATGTGATCCCAAAGATATAATATACATAAAAATCCAACTCCAAATGATAAAGTTATGGATTTAGTAAAAATAAGAATCAACCGCGTTATTAGAGTTAATTACATCAAGACGGTATTTAGAGATTAGTTGAGTTTTAACTAAAAGTGAAAAAGGGAGATTCGTACTACTCCATGAGATATAAACTTTAGGACAAAGAATACTGAAAACGGGATCCATGTGAGAGAGATATGATTTTTGTAAAATCATTTATTTTACCCCCGTTAGGCATAAAAATGAAAGTGAAAACTAGCTAAAACAACCTAAAGGAAAGTTGTAGTACTCCTTGAGACCATTACATAGATATAAAAAGGGCTTAGATCGGAGCTCGCATGAAAGAGTTATGATTTTTACAAAATCATTTCGTGTGCGCTAGGTGCGAGCATATGCCTATCGCGCACCCGAAACCGGATTCGAGTAGATTGCGAATGACGTGGCTAATCGGGGAAGTGACACATGCCGATCTCCATATGGAGCCATGATGATCACGCGTGACGCACAAGATCCTTGCGTTACGCGCACCCAAAATTCACGCCTATAAATAGAAGGTAGTGCAGATCCCATTCTGCATACCTCTCTCTGGGTCTCTCTCTTAATCCTCAAAGTTACTGCATTTCTGGTGCGGTTCCTGGAGTCCCGAGCCCGATTCAACCCTACATCAGTGGTCTCACGCGTCAAGGGTGAGTTCACAGCCCTATTTTACTATTTTAAAGGTTTTAAGGGGGGAATACATGCTTATCATACTACTTTATCAAAATATTATATATATATATATATATATATATATATATATATATATATATTGTTTTGGTCAAAATCAACCAAATTGCATGAGAGGCTATGGTGTTGTGGTTGAAGTGCTTAACGAAATTAGAACAATGTTGCACAAGTGGTTTACAAGGAAAGCCCTTGATCCTTGATAGGACATTCGACATAAAACCTTGAAAGGTGATAATAATCACCTGAATTGTTTGATTTTATTGATTTGGATGAAAAATACAAAAAATGAAGATACGAATACAAGTGTTTCAGTAGCTTATGGTGTCTAAGTTGTTTGAAAATTATGCCCATTGTGTGTGTTTTACAGGTGTATATATAGTCTAGGTTAAGTAACTAAAAGTCTAATATTTCTGGGATCCTGCTAAACTGGTATTTGCAACGTGCTTTTGACTTGGTATTCCCGGGTTTTAAGCATGGTTGAAACATTTATTTGTTGTGAATGAGTCTTATGTTGACCATTTCTGCACATGTGAGAAATAAACAAGAAATATAGCCATTAAACTTGCTAGGAATTAATAATGGCGATGTTCAGGATCCTGATGTATGTTCAGGATCCTGAGACTCGTTTAAGATCCGGGATCCGTGATAGGTTTAAGGATCCTTAGATATCTTTGAGATCCGGGATCTTGGATAGGATTGAGGATTTTGGCCCTAAAAATTTCCTTTAAATTATATCTGCAAAACATTTGAATTAATTTCAAGTATTTAAAGTGTATAATTTAATTAATTGGAAATAAAGGATATGAAATTCAAACTCTAACGGATATAATTGTATCCGTTCAACAGGTATGATTGTGTTGTTAAAATTATTCTCTATCCTCTACGATCCACATAAATAGGGGTTAATAGTTATCAATCTTCTATTACTTCTTTTAGCTCTCTTTCAAGCGTTATCGGTTATCTTGAAGGTAAATTTCTTGTTCCTTTCTTCTTATTTTTCTTGTTTGATGATAATGGGTAAAAAGGCACTCCGTTCTCGCTTGAGCATCCTTACTCTTTCTAATGATAACGACACTGAGTCCTTGAAATCAATCGGAGATTTTCATGTCGACGTCATTTTCAAGCCTTTGGATGCTAAGGCCAAACTTGACTTTGTCTCTTCTACTTGGGTTTGTTTTCCTAAATATCCTCTCTCCTTGGGCTTGACATACCTTTTTTCTGGCATCATCTCTGAGTTCTTCAAAGTTACAAAATTTTCATATTTTCAAACTATTCCTATGATCTGGAGGATCTTTTTTTAGATCAATTGGATGAATTAGTTTAAAAAAATTAACATGGGGTTAGCTGAATTGGCCAATGTTTATGGTCTTCAAACTTTTGGATCTTCTCATTTTTTGCTCAAAGTCAAAACCAACAAATCACATTTAATTTTGAAAACAAATAGATGGTGGCTGGAAAGAAAGGTTTTTCTTTATGAAACACAACTCTATCTAACGACGATATCCTGCTAATAAAATGGGTTAAAAAGGGTAGGATTTTATTTAATTATGATAAGGATCCTGAAATTCAGACTTCCTTATTTTGTTTGCTTTGACGAAGCTTTCAAGTTCGAGGAAGTTGTTCCAGCTGCTGAAGATACTGAAGAGAATATTGAAAGCTTTCTTGCTTTGCATGAGGCTGAAAGATTGTAACATCCGGACTTCCAGGTATATTGTTTATTTATTTAATTATTTTGAGGACTATTTAGCTACTCGACTAGTCAGTGCCACAACTCGTCGAGTAGAGTCGCGATGTGCCACATGGGATTAATGACCTACTCGACGAGTCCAAGAGCCGATTCGCCGAGTAGACGCTGTGATGAGAAACCCTAAATCCCCAGGTTTGGGGCCTATTTAAGGGCACTTATAGCCTCATTTGCGGCTATACTTCCCTGAGAGTATACCCTAATCGACCTGTGAGTTTAGAGAGAGAGAGAGAGAGAGAGAGAGAGTTTTGAGCTAACCTTGAGTGCTTGGTGCATCTTTTGAAGAGAAGAGAAGGATTCCAAGCCAAGGGACGAGAAGGGGTTGGTAGATCCGTGGTTATTTCACCTCAGAGCTTCTGGGAAAGGTATAAAGCTTGCACCTTTCTCATTTTGTTGAGTAGATCTCATGATTTTGGGAGTTTAGGGCTTTTTCTATCTAAAATGAGGACCTAGAGTGTTTTAAGTTCATTTAGAGGTTTGGACTTCATATTTGGACCATGTGAGGTCCCTAGAGTCCAAAAGTCCCTGCTTTATTCAGCCATAATAATGATCTTGAGTGAAAAACCCTTTTTAAGGTATGTTTTGGCATTTCAAGCCCTAAGTGCCATGCATGGACGTAAAGCCTATGACTTTACGTGATAAACGAGCCTTAAGAGTGTAGATCTAGAGTTTGGGAAGGTTTTATGCCTTGAAATCGTCTGAATGAGAAATGAGTCTGAATGGACTCGCCGAGTTGAGGAGCCGACTCGACGAGTCGGTTAGGGTTTGTCCCGATGAGCTGGCTATGCTGTAAGTCGGCGAGTTAGGGTTTAACTTGATGAGCTGGACCTTCACGAAGACTTCTGAGGGACGACTGGACTCGACGAGTCACATGAGTGCACTCGGTGAGTCAGGTCAAACGAGGACTGTTGACTCGAGTTTGACTTCTGTTGACTTTAGGGTTTGGTCAACATAAGTAATGAAG